ATATATATATATATACATATGCAGAAACCGCTGAGGGCTTAATAACTTAATATACAATTGAAAGTGTTTTGTTATATCTGTTTGGGGGGAAAATACCAGTCAATTATTCCTGTGATCTCTGCATATGTTTACCTATATCAGTTAACCTTGTTCCCGGCTCTCTTTGTGGACTATAAAACACCTCCCCCTATGTTATGTAGACGGAGGAGAAGTGTTCTGTAGTTCTAACGCACGCCCTGTTCTAGGGTGATAACCCTGCTCCTCTACAGATATAGTACAGTGAGTGAATGACACTAAGACAGGAAGTGTGTTACCGGTAGCATATTAAATTAAATAAAACCTAAAAAAAAAAGGAAAACAAATGCAGACACATCACTGAAGGTCTGGTAAGCTGCAAAATATTACATTTAAGTTCTTGGGTTTAGATATGCTTTAAAAGATGAGTGAAAATATCTATACAAGTGCTGATACTCTTCATCTGGAAAGAAACCTTTTGACTACTGTTGATATCTAAACTTAAAGTCATAATAAAGTCAAAGTGTTTCTAAGCTACAACAATTGCTGACTAAAACACTTACAATGGATGCTACTTCTTAAATGTTAAATGTTTTAATTTCTTGCAGAATCAGCTGGTCCCCTGAGCACTGGTCCTGATATCCTCAGGGTGGCTCCGTTCCCTTGCAGAGTCCTATGGAGCCACCCTTCTGTGTGTCTCCACAAACACACAGACATACTGTAGCAAGGCAAACCACTCCCCTCTTCCCTTCCCCGAGCTAACATATTCATTACACTGGATTAAATATTGAAAAAAAAGTTGGAGAGTGTAATACTATTTTGATCTACTTCTCTGAAAATGCCAAAGATGAACATTACCTTTGAGTTAAAATTAGTTTCATACAGTCCATGCTCATCATGCTTCAGTATTGGCTGACTTAAGTGGGATTCACACAAATCACAGAGATCTTGGGTCCAGCTGTTGAACGTTTCGTCATCATGGGCATCTAAAAGTTCTATAAATTTGTTGTATTTCTCAAAAACCCGATTAGCTTCATCATTTGTTAGAGATCTGCAAGGTTAGCATACAACATATATTACTGCATTATCAAGTATTTCATACAATTTTATTATTTATTTATTGTTGGTATTTATATAGCGCTGAAAATGTACAGAGCTTTATATACTGCACATTCGCATCAGTCCCTGTCCTCAAAGAGCTTATACTCTAAGGTCCCTATCTCATATCCATACATAGAGGGCCAATTTAGTCAGGAGCCAATTAACCTTCCAGCATGTCTTTTGGAGTGTGGGAGGAAACCAGAGTTACAAATTGTGTTTTACTTAACTGCAGTATAGAAAAGTTCCTTTGCTGTTTGGCAGCCTGGCTACATTTTAAGAATCAATGTACAACAATACAAATCCTTTAGCAGGTAAAACAGCTCTCAAATATGTATTTGATCTGTGCATTTACCAGTTTTCAACTGAGTTGAAGTTGAGTTCAGCTTTAAGAAAGAGGAACTGTAATTTGTAATGTGTGGTAAAGAGATCAGCAATAGAGTGCTTTTAAGTAATGACATAAATGCAATTTCCCATTTTTTCTCTTTGTTCTTTTTAATATCTTCATTGAGCGCAAATAATAGGCATCAGAGAGCAAAGCATGCTGGTTACCACATAAAAAAAAGATTCTGTTTCCAACTTTTTTCACATATGCAAGAACTCAAGTTTAGTTCTCCAGATGTAACCTCTTAATATTATGTCTCTGAGTTTTTTCAGCTTGATGATCTGTTAATATGCAATTATCTCATGTCCTTAACAACACCTAGCGTAACTCCTTGTTTTAGGATCCATGAAGTGCCTTGCCCCTGCTCCCACCATTGCATCTTCATGACTGAGCTATGAAGAACAGGGAGTAAAGCTGGCTATAAACCAGCAGTATTTAGTTTGAACAAATCATTTTCATAACATTTGTCCAGTTTTTTAATAATGAATGGGGTCAAGCAAAAAAATAATTGTGTCAAATTAAAAAAAATAAAGTAACAGAATGGATTTTTTTCTTGGACGAACGGAATTCTAACAGTGAATTTAGTTTTTGTTTGAGAAACTAGGACTGAAAATTACTTAAAACCCCCGAGAGTTATATATATTTCCTGAAAGCATAGACCCTGTAGAATAAAATGGCAGCCGTTGCAAATTTTTACCTCACATGAGGTAAAAGCGCAACTCTTTATCAAACCCAATATTTTAAGTAAAAATTACACTCAAGTTAATTTTGGCACCCCAAATTATCCATAGGTAACATTTTAAAAGCCCATATAGGTCATCAGTTTAGAGTTAACCGTGAATATTGGCCCTGCAATTATTGCTCTAACTCTGGCGCATGCAGCAACACCTAACATGTGTAGCAGAATCGTTGTTTTCGTACGTAGGCGAACCACGCTTGTTTATGTTACTATGCATGGGTTTACATTTATTTTATTTTACTTTTGTTTTTCACTTTTTCTAACTTAACTTCATTGCTATTACATAGGGTGACTCACAAGCCCCTATGTGATAGCATATTAGTGGTGACATGTACCCTTTAAGGTGATATTAGTGTCACCTTTCCCCTTCAAAGAAACTATTCAATCTTAGATCGGGCTTGAAAAGCTTCTTCCTCGGCTTCTCTAGCTGCTGAGGCCTCAGGCCTCAGGCAGCTAAGGAATCGGAAGTGATGTGCAATCAGCATCACTTCTGGCACCATTCACTGGGGAGCAGATCGGGCGGTCTCTCTCCCCTCTACCTGCTGACGCCTGTGATGCTGGTCCTGGGCCTGCAGGAGAAGCAGTGCAGCCCAGGAAGCAAGGAGGGGTGTAGGGCAGGGAGACATTCTTCATGGGCCCCTGAAGGCGATCTGGCAGCAGCTCAGCCACCAGAATCACTTCTAGTGTAAAGCAGACAGTAGACTTTACACAGTTAAACAGAGTCCCGGTGGCTATACTGTTTACAGGGGCTTGCTGCCAACGACGTATGGCATACGTTGGCGGCAGCAAATGGGTTAAAAGGTATGTAAACTTAAACAATGAACTTCTCTTATTTGGTCCCATTTGGTTTGTTAAATATACCATTAAAGACATTTTGTAAAGTGAAAAAAAAAACAAAAATATACTAATCCTCAAAGAAATCTTGTTAGATAATAACATTCTGTGCTCTCTGTCTGTGCTACACTTTTATCCGTTACATTATTTCTAGCTATCCCTAAAGACTGCAGAACTTCTCTCCTATGTTAGGAAGATGAAGAGAAGGGGAAGTATTCGTGGACCAAATCAAGAGATCAGCCAAGGGTTACAACGATGCTTCTCCATAGATACAGTATGGTGCATAAATATTGTCACCCTATTACAGAAAGTGCGTTCCTGGGAAGTTCAAGGAAGAAGAGCCTGAAAAAAGACAACAAATGCAGCCACCACATCTAAGGACTGGTTGCTGTAATATATTGTTATATACATTTTTGGTTCAGGTTTAGATTTACTTCAAGGACAGAAAAGTTAACACTGGATTAATACTGCATATGGTACTTACTCATGATTAATGTGCTTGAAGAATGACCTTTGTTTCATCAATCTTTCTCTTAATTCTTGAGACCATTTTAAATTTCCAGCAACAACAGGCATGTTTTTATGGAGCATGTTATTTCCACGTTTAGCCTACAAAATAAAAACAGTTTGTAATTTATATAGCACACCGTGAAGAAGTGTTCAGAGGAGTTGTCCACTTTAACCCACTTCCCTTATGCTGGTATCTCACCTTTTATGAAGGTAGGAAACCAACCTGTTACACAAATGCAACACAATCAATATATATCAACATATGCCACTTACCGTTTCTCTCTGACTGAGATAGATCTTCTTACAAAAGTTGATTTCCATTTCAAACATTGTAAGGAGTTTTGTGTAATTTTTGCAAAACAGAGTATTGATCACAGGTCGTTCTAGTAGGGTTCCAAAAATCTGCAAACCCTAATAGATATAAAGGATGGAAATATTATTGGAACATATGTATAGATACAAATCTAAATTCAAACTTGTATTTATTATATAAAAAGCATGCTTGCTTGTCCCAGGTTTATTGCTGCAAGTTATTTATATAGCAGAGAAATACATCACAGATCTATACAATTAGTAGACGAAGGATATGAATTGACCTAGACATAACAAAAAGTACCGATATCACAGATGGTTCAGTTACTCTAATTGACCACCAATTTTGTAGGATTTGTTGACTTGCTTGAACATATGTACAACCAATAATCCCATGTGCATCGGATTGACTTCAAGAATCAAGAAAACCACAGCTAGAGCTCCTAACACCCCCCCCCCACACACACACACACACACACACACACACACACACACACACACACACACA